ATCAGGGCCCATGCCCTTTGCGATTTCTAGCGACCGTTCTGTGTCAAGTCACGAATTATAATCATAAGGGCGGATGTCCATTCGCTTTGTCTCCGTGTTCATATAGCGCTGGTAGCAGTTCGGTACGAGGACGGGCTTATTGTGCCTTGTGAGATCCTGGATAAGAGCTGGTGGCGTCTCCACGATATCGGAATCCAGCCATAGGACCCAGGAAGTGCTAGGGCCCAAAGTCGTGAATAGCAAGCTATTTCTGGCCCGTGCCATTGCTTCCCGACGGATCTTTTGATTTGCAAGCTTATGCCGTTCCTTCTCGTCCTGAGACAGGATGGGAGGGTCAAAGTCTTGCCGTAAAATCGTAATACTCGCAAATCTATCATCCATAGGGCCGGATTGGGTCTTCGTGATAGCCTTTTGTAGAGCGGATGTTGCCGCGTTCCCTTCCTTCGTTTTTGGAATAATAAACCCTAGCGAAATATACTGATGCGGGTAGGACAACTTCTCCAGATTCTCCCAATATTGAGGGTAGAACCGAGCCAGCGGAGTCAGTATCAGCACCCTTTCATGTCTTTCCGCCGAGTTCATTGTCGTTGTCACATTGTTCAGATTATAGTTGACAACCGGAGGGGGGACGCGGCGACCGTTCGACTTGAAAAGCTGCTTCTTCTGAAATGGTTTCGTCGGAGGCGATAGAGGGTCCTGGGCTGCATCATTCTGTCTTTGAGCAGACGTCACCGCTCCAGAAGAGCTTGGAGAGAAGATAAAAAGAAGGAAACCGATGGCGAGGGCACATGCTAGCACGAAAGTGATGGGATTCGTACGCCGTAGCGACCGTACGGCCATGGTGGCCTTTGAAATAGTAGGTCAACCACTAGAGATAGAATATGCGGGCTATGGGAGGAGCACACAGACGAGGCGCTCGAGGAGGCCCGTCTCTTACGATTGCTTTCTCGTGGTCGTTATCTGGGCGTCGGGTTCACCGTCAGGGACATGATCAAAATTTCCGGGGCAAGGTCTAGCGAAGCGGAACTAGGAAATCGCTATGGAACGAGAGAAGGCGATAAGACCAGTTAAAACAATAAGGGATGTAATAATTCAATAGACGAAAAGAAGACGACTGAAAACGCAGAGTGGGTGATCGCAGAGGAGGTTTGATTTTGGTGTGCGGATTTGACTTCGAGGTGGTTCAGAGTTGAGTGCTGGCTTCATTGCCGGAAGGCTGCAGATCAGCACCGCCGTCGCGACACGGGAGACGTAAGACTGTCAATCGCATTGATCTGCACAAATCGGTATCGCCTTCAAAGAAACCAACCGCATCGAAGATCAAACGGAGTCCTCCACACACAAGGGTTTATTTCCTACGACTCCACGCTGCCTGATCTTATATCTTGGGACCCCTGGAATTAATACGATCCGCGATGTCGGTTTATGTATTTAACCCCTCGAGAAGCACCGATAGGACCTGGCGTTTACTGACTACGCTTTATCTGTCTATCAGGGTAGCCATCTCATCACAGCCTCAAAGGCCACCAACGCCATCGCGTTCGCAGGAAAGGCCCTCAGAAAACATGGCAAAAATCCTCGCCAGTAACCCCTCCAGCCGTTCTCCCTCCCTACAGCGATCGCCGCATCCCTCCAGCGATGAAACTTTCTCTCCCCATCGTTGAGCCCGCCCCCCAGCGGGTCCGTCATTATCCGTTGCTTCACAACGTCGGAGGGATATGACGTGATCCAGAATACCTGCGCAGAAAGGCCGCCAGCCCAGAAATTGATCGCAGGCGCCGAAAGCTGCGTATACTTATTCATTGCTCGTGAGAAAATATCGTACGTACCCCACCAAAAGAAGAAGAATGATCGGAAGAGGAGCGTGGCGGAAAGCCCATGGTAAAGTCCCGGAATGCCATGATATCGAAGCTGTTTTTCCGTCAGCACTCGAAACAGCATCACCTGCAGGAAAAATTTGGCAGCGGGCGG